TCTGCCTCGGGAGACACGAACGATAATAGCCCAACTCTGCTCTGACTACTGCAGCAGGTTAAACTCCTACCTGAGTAGATTGAATGAGGATGTGCCAAATGAGTGTCCGGCATGCGGAGAGACCCCACATGACTCGAAACATCTATTCGCATGCCCGGAAAACCCGACAACCCTAACGGCTTTGTCCTTGTGGACCGACCCGATAGAAGCTGCACGCTTCCTAGGGCTGCCGTTAGTGGAACTTGACGACAACGACTGAGATATCAACCGATCTGTGCGGGGTTGTTGTAGCCGCTACAACAACAACAACAGCAACATATATATATTATTTAGAAAGTGAAAGTTCTACCTTTAATTTGATATACATATTTTATTATGATCTACTTTTGAGGTTTAAGAATCAGTGATAAAAAAAAATTAAAAGCATTTACAAGCAAGTGACAAGTGTGGATTTTATCATAGTTTCTTTTGCCCAGAACTTATAACCCTTACCAAATAGAATTCTCCTTTTGGTGTGCACCAACTGGGGCTACCGCCCCAGTGATGTAGCCTTGGCAAAGGATGAGGTAACTAGAATTCTCTTTCGGTGTGGTAAACCTGGGGCTGCCGCCCCAGTGATGTCTATTATGGTTACTGGGTGTTTTATAAAAATGTCTTGTATATAAAAATGTCTTGTGCAAATGAATATTTAACATTTCATCAAGCGAAAAAACGCAAAGGAAAATTGTGATTTTTGGCCATTTTTCTAAGGGGTCCCTAGGGAACCATAGGGGACCTAGGTGGTCGGGGGTTGCATTTTTGGCAATGGCGGTTCATTCCCTCTCCCTTTTTAATTGCGGCAAATAATATTTATATAGTTAAAATCAGTGTAAAAAGTACTAGCAATCTGCATTTTTGGTTTTTCTATAGCTGAACGGTTGGTTATCTTGATGTATGCCTAAGATAACGATATTTCCATTTAATATAAATATGGAAACAACGAACCATTTTTATTTTGTTTCGAATTGCTTGCATGACTTTTTTTTTAATTAAGTAAGCAAATTTTTGTTTGAATTTATGTTTTTTGAATGGGAACATACCTCTTTGTCAAAAGCCTACAAAACGCGCTCAAATAAAACGTTTGCCTATTTGAAACTTTGAGGCGCTTAAAGCAAGTGAAGAAAAGCTGCCATTTGGCCAGCCTTTATACGTTTTAGTATATTCCAAATAATTTTTGACCTTTCTAGCAGCGAAGCAAGCAAAGCAAGCCTGCATTGGGCCAGTACCTTAACACATGGTTGCAAACTGACACATAAGATGTGTTGCCATACTGTACAAAACAATACAATAGAAAGAATTCTACGTTGTTTAAAATATTTTGATGTTTGAAAGGTATTAAAAATATAAAAATATCTTCTTATTGATATATATATGTTTTACTTTTTTTGTAAGGCTTATGAGAAAAATGAGATTTTATAAAAAAACATGCCTACGCAGAAAGGTGTTCTCTGCTAAAGGTGTTCAGTCGCTCTTCTTCGGCAACACAGAAACGAGACTTGTACTTCGTGAGGGTTATAATCCCTAAGTGCGGCCGAAGGCCGCCTACGCAGAAAGTTGTTCTCTTTTGTTGTTTTGCAACACATTACGGATAATTCAACGTACTGAGGGTTATAATCCCCAAGTGCGGCGGAAGGCCGTCTACGCAGAAAGTTGTTCTCTGCAAAAGGTGTTCAGCCCCCTTTGGCAACACAGAAAGGAGAATTCTACTTAGTGGGGGTTATAATCCGTAAGTGCGGCCGAAGGCCGCCTACGCAGAAAGGTTTTCTCTGCAAAAGGGGTTCAGTCCCTCTTCTTCGGCAACACAGAAAGGAGAATTCTATTAAGTCAAACTTCCGAATTAAAAATACGCTTTAATTATTCAAAATTCCAGTCTGGCAGCACCAAGTTTGATGTTATTTTGCTATCTTACTCATCGTTTATACCGAACCATCAAATTCAATTTTGTGATTTGCGTAAATTCAAACAAGCTGTTTTCCTGTTGGCAAATTGCTGTTGGCAAAAATATTTCCAGCAGAAACCAGCAGCTTCCCCTCAAAATGAAATGTCACTTTACTCTCCCAATTTCCCCTACTTTGCAAGTTTTTTGCGTACGCGAACGCAAAAACCTGTAAGTTTTGGTTAAACATGAACAATTAACAGCTACGCGAAGGCAACTAATAATAAGGTGTTGTCACTTAGGGGGTGGTTGTTGTAATTTTGGCAATTTCGGCATACCAGCGTTACAGTAATGCCTACTGTATTTATACCAATTTCATTTCTGGGCAAAATGGAACAAAAAATGGAGCAGACAATTTTGTGAAAAAAGTATGCGCAGGTATCACTGTTTCGCTTTTGCTTTGACCTTTCGTTTCAAATTCATTGGAAAATTTGAGCGATAATTTCCAATAATTGTGATTTTGTAAGTAAATTTTCGGTAAATTACATATCCAACATATTATTGGAGCAGTCTCTCGGATGGCTATGATAATGCACTTTGGTCTAACAATTTAATGGCATAATTATTATATATAACTGATAGAATTCAGAAATGTAATTTTAAAATGGTAACGAAAATAAAAGTCGTAATAAAATTCCCTTTAAAGTTTAGATATTTAAAAACTAAGTACGCATATACATGTACTTCCGAACTTAAGGAAAAAATACAAATAAAATTCCATACGGGCTAATATGTCATTTTCATTAGAATTTAAGAATAATTAAATAAATAGAACGGTATAATTTAACTTGTTTTAATATGAATAAATGAAAGACGGAAAATAGTCCTTATTTTTTAAGTTTTAGCCATCATCATATGTGTGTGGTACGACCGAGTGGCCTTTTAAGTTTTACAAATAATAATTGTAAGGTAGAAAAATTGAACTGAATAATAATTATAAAAATCAATATATTTGATCGAAAAAATAAAAATTAAGTAATAATAATTTCTTTTGAGCGAAAAAATGAAACTGTAATACACTGGTTTACAGGAAAAATATTTTATTGATGCAAGCTTCATTTAACTGGTGTGGGGTCCACTGATATATGTATGTATTGGAAATAGTACCCAAAAAGTAGTAAAAATAATCCTAATATTTTTCCCCTTTTTCTACTACCCCAAAATGCATGGCCGCAATTGGCATGCAGAAAAAATGAGGTTATGTAAGTGACATACCCTTATATTTATTTCACCGTGGTTTATACGAAAACTTTAACAACAAATTATATAAAAACTGTTGGGTTGCTAGAAAAAAGGGGGGTATTTTTCAAAACAGGGAGTCCTATGTGAATATTTTTTGTGTTATTACAGCTCAGCTCCGAAATTTGCAAAAAACACCATATTTCAAACCGAAATTATTAATAAATTAGTGTACAGATGTAGTATATTGTTTTTTAATAAAGCGTGAACTCTTGTCTACAGGTTTGTGTAAAAGATTTTTGATTCGGAGCATGCGTTTGGGCACAGCAACCCAAAATCTTTGTACAAATAACTAAACCGTACCCAGCAAAATAAACTTAAGGTAGGTTTTTTAATAGTTTACGCATATTTTTGCTTTAAAAACGATTGAAAACAATCGAATCGGCACCTTGCAAAAACTTTAAATAAACTTGTTACTAAAAACGTACATATGTATTAGGGCGGGTCGAAAATCAAATTTTTCTCGAATCTCTTGGTTATAGTGAAAATATATTGTATCATGAAGTCAACAACAAGCTTGCAAAATATTAGTCTTTTATTTTAGTTGTAAGAGCCCGCGCATCGACCGCCAAGTGACCCACAGCACACTAGTCGAATAAGACCAATTATTGTTAAAAATTCTGGGTTCAGCAAAAAGTTTTAGTGCATATTATTAGATATTGAATCCGTTAATGTAAAAGATAAAGTCAAATATCATTTCTCGCAGCCCTTTGGCTTATCGTTAATCTCAAAGTTATCTTCTTCCAATAAAATTTTAATTGTTCTCTTGATAATTGCACAGGCCTATAGTCAAAACATGTAAAGAACAGCGTTAATATTGCTGGCGTGCATTTAGGTCGCTGCTTCCAAATATTCTCATCTTTTTTTTAATATTTGCTATAGTTTGCGAATTTTTGCAAATTTAGGAACAATTTCTAATAGAAAATCCATTATTTTCCATCATCGTGGAAAAATTTTGTTTATGCAAATGAGTGTGGAAACACTGAACAGGTACCACTTCTAGAAACACTAATTAGTTTACTTATGCTTATGCATACAATATAAAAATTGCAAATATAGGAAAATTACAAAAAATTTTATTCAACATCAGGAGCAAATAGTAGTTGCCTGGCCATAATGTGATGTGAGAAATAAAAACCCGATTTTAAAACCAATTCGAGTCAACACTCTTTTGAATTGAAATTTGGTTTATGCATTAGTTTTGAATAACAGCGAACTGGGTCAAAGCGCTTTATGTGTCGGTATAAACAAGGTATATGACTTGCTCTCTCTGTCAGCTCTTTGCAGGAAACTGCAAACAACACTGAATATGATTGATACTTGGCTCACCATCTGTAATCTTAGATAGTAAACTTTTATGGAAGTCTCACGCTGAGAAACAGGGCCCCCAAAGCCTTAACATTGTTCTGGCAATGCAAATGCGGGGTCTGTCACCTACAGGAATTTACACCTCTATGAAAGACCTATAATCAGATATACATCTGTGGTGTGGTCAAGCAGACTCTCTATCAATAGCATGGGAAATCTGTCTGTCAAACTTGAAAGATCGTGTGTGTTCAAAAGCATTTGAAAATTCATGTGGAATGTTCTGTAGGTCCTTTGTACTAAATCATATATTTATAAAGTTAGCAGTTTTTCATAGAAAAAAATAAATAAACCATCATGTAGAGATGTCCGTATCAGAAAATTATTTTGCCCGAAAAAAGCAGCTTTTACCGCGGCGGCGACAATATTAATCGTAAGAACAAATTTTTTTAATAAATGTAATTTTAATTTTTTTTTCCAGGATGTTCGACTGTTACTCCTCGTTTTGAATTTCACTACGCTTTTAATTGAACACTCCTTCTCAAGACATCTATACAATTCGGTCGAACACTTGACTCAGTTGCTGTCTTCTCAAAATATGGACATTGTTCTAGCAGTTTTAAACTTGCTTTACATGTTCTCTAAAAGAAGCAATTTCATACCACGACTTTCGCTGGAGAAAAAGGATATGCTTTTAACGAAGCTTTATAATATAGCTGAGGTACATTTGAGAAACATTTGAAATGTAAATAATTTCATTAAATTTATATATAGCGATGGGGTGATCCAAATTATGGTTTAGCTTTGATAGATTGTTGTATAAGAAAACCAAAATTGGAATTCCTGTATCAACTTTCCATCGAATACTCAGATGAAAATGGACAAGTTGTTTTGCTGGAGATACCAGACATGGTAAATACGTGCAAAGGCTTGCCTATTTCGGAGGTTGTCAAGGCGATATGTGGACATATGAAAAATCCTTCTGAGGCAGTTAAGGTAAGTTATAAATTACACTGTATATTATAAAAATTACAAGCAAATACTTCAATCAACAAATATTTCATTTATAAATATCAAATTCCATTATATTTAAAATACGCGCATATGTCATAATCTAGTCAATATATTTTTTGGAAGGGGCGGGGGGGGAGCGTGCACGAAGAAAAGAACAAAAAAATTTTAACTTTAACAACCTTGCAAATATTTAACTAAAACCATCATGCACACAGTTTTGCACCATAGTGTAGGTATACTTAGCAAATAACTAATTGATAACATTTTTAGATGAGGATCGCGCATAGAATTCGGCTTGTATCTGGATTTAAGCATCAAAAGTTACGTCTACAATTTGTTCAAGCTCGTCTCCAAGCTATATCCGTATTGATTTACTCTAATGCATTACAAGATAATGTCGAGAGGATTCTTTATTCCGGCTTCGGAGAAGAACTGTGCGAACTAATAGACAAAGAAGATGTATATTTGGTTGAAATTCGTGCAGCAGTACTCAGGACCTTGACTTCAATGCTACACTTTGACCGAAATCCTAATGTACCAAGGTGTGTACATCTTACGCCTGTAATAATGCTCTTTTATTTTTAGAAAACATATTTTTCTTTAGACCGGGTTCTCGGTTGTCGAAAATTATTCAGTACACTGGAGCGGAACGCCAAGGAGGCATTTTACCACTTTTGGTTCGCGATTGCATAACAAGTTTGACTCATGAAGGGATTTGTGAAAAATATCCATTGGTTTTAGCAACTTCCTTGTTCAGTCTTCTTTATCATTTAGCCAGTTATGAAGCAGGCGGCCATGCTTTGGTCAAAAGTGGTATGATGAAATCATTGCTGGAAGTCATTAATTGGCCTGGAGTCGATTTAGAGCACATTACTTTTGTTACGCGAGCTGTTCGAGTTATAGACTTAATAACAAATATTGACATAAGCAAATTTCACCAAAGCAATGGCTTAAATATTTTTATTGATCGCATGGAGAAGGAAATCAATTGTTGCAGGGATGCTCTTGCCAATTTGGAAAGAAATGACGATTCGGTGGACAGTATGGAGCAAATGACAAATGGTAATATTTTTATTAAGTTCAAATTGTAAACTTTTTAGCATTCTAAAAAATATGCCGCGCACTTGCTGGAAAAGAGTCGTCATCAAAACATACACAATATTAAACAATGCAAAAAAGAACGCACTCGCGTCACGAGAATATAAATATTTGTATACAAAACATTAAGTTTGGATACTTTTTCAGCAAATGAGTAATATTTTCTGATAGATTGTAGTTGTATTATTAAACGTCATAGATACATATGTATATGGGGCGTTCCATACCAAAATGGAAGGGGTCCACACTTCATGTGTTTGATTTGTTTAAAATTTTTAGGGTTGATGGATAAACATAAATAATAAATAAATATAAAATTTGTACCTGATTAATACATTTTTAAAAACTTTACAGCACAAAAACAAAAACAAATCGATTTAATAGTTTTCCAAATATCTCGAGAATGGGGCGAGGAAAAAAATCACACATACACACATCAAAATTCTGTATGAAAAAAAGTTTTAAAATTTTTTTTCTTGAAAAATTTTTCACATACAAATTTTTTTTTAAAAAAATTGTTTTTAAAAATATGCCATCTCAAAAAAAAAATGGAAAAGAAATCAAAATGCGCAATATTTAAGTATAGTATTACGAGGTGCACTCTCCAATAATTTGAGTTATGCATTTTTTTTACACCGAAGTTGGATAAAATGAGTACATTACAAATTTACAAACTTTTTTAATTTTTTTAGGATTTTTTTGAGGATGCAGTTGTAGCCCATTAAATTTTAGTATAATAAAGTGCAAGTTTTAAGCTACTGCAAAATTGCGTTGATTTTTAATATTTATGCTGACAGCTTTTTGCACTTTTTCTTATGGAAGAAAATGCGCAAGACCGTTTTCAAAGAAAATAAAAAAACAATAAGGCCAGTTTTGCAATCGATTGAAACTTGCGCTTTAGTATACTAAAATTTAATGGGCTACAAAACTGCATACTCGAAAAAATTCTAAACTAAATTTGTAAGTTTGTAATGTAGTCATTTTACTCAACTTCGGTTTAAAAAAAAAATCATAACTCCAATTATTGTAGAGTGCACCCCGTAATACAATACTTAAATATTGCGCAATACTCAGAGATACTATTGTGATTTTTTTTAAATTTTATTGAGACGGCATATTTTCAAAAACTTTTTTTTATCAAAAAATTTGCATGTGAAAAATTTTTCAAGAAAAAAATTTAAAAAATATTTTCCCACCAAACCAATTTTTGTTGCCGGCAATAAGAAAACGTCCTCGGGAACAAATTTATCTCCATCGTTTCGATTTCTTATTACCAGTCGCTCTAAAACGCCCGCCTGGGCGAGTCGCTTTCTTATTACCTGAATGAGTCGTTTTCATATCGCTTTATTATTCCTACGGGCGATATTTGCAATAATTTTATTCTTTTTAATACTTCATTCACTTTTTTTATACAAAACTGTGACTTAAAAACGAAATTAATTATTTCTCTCGCCATGGCGCTTCGTATTTTTTCACTCCTCCTTTGGCGTAAATTCGATGCTTTTGGAGAATCCTGTTGACGCAAGATTCATCAGTTTGGGAGTAATAATGATAACATATTCCTAAAATGACAGGAAAGATATTATGTTGTCGATTTCTCACCACTTCAATAAATCGGCAAGTCGCCAATATGTCGCCATTGGCGATTGGTGCCTATTCTCATGTTTTGCATGGTGGATCTTTACATTGAGAATTTTGATGTGTGTATGTGTGATTTTTTCAAATTTGTTCCTCGCCCCGTTCTCGAGATATTTGGAAAACTATTAAATCGATTTGTTTTTGTTTTTGTGCTGTAAAGTTTTTAAAAATGTATTAATTAAGCTAAAATTTCACATTTATTTAATATTTATGTTTATCCATCAACCGTAAAAATTTGAAACAAATCGAACAAATGAAGTGTAAACCCCGTCCATTTTGGTATAGAACGACCCCATATAGAGTATGGCCAAATTATTATACTCAAGCTGAATACTAAGTTTGGTAAAATACAATACATATCAGCATATCGCTGAATTATTTTAATGTCTATAGCAAAATTTTATACAGACAAGACTAAAAAGTAGAAATATATATATTTTTTTAATGTACTACGTTTCTAAAAATGGACTAAAAATGGAAAATATGAAGAAGGCTCATCTCAGAATTTGGTGCCAAAACGCCCTATCTCAAACGAAAATACATGGAAAATGTGCTGCGATAGGGCGTTTTAGAACCGGCAGTTGAGATAGGGCGTTTTTCAATCAAATTCTAAAATAGGGCGTTCTTAACCAAATTCTGAAATAGGGCGTTGTTGAAAAATTTTCTGAAATGGGGCGTTTTCGAACTGGCTGGCCGAGATAGGCCGATCTTCCACTCAGCCATCGATATTTACATTAGACTGTCCCAAAAATATATGGACAAAAATTGTTTGCAAATTTTGATATGCATACCCTCTATATTTGTGCTTTTTAGCTAAACAACAAAGGTATATATGAATTTTTATGGCTGTAGGATAACGAAAACCCTTGCCGAATTTCAGTTGAAGTTTTAGTTAATGGCTTGAATTAAGGCTACGAAATCGTCCATGCAAACTTTGGAAATGCGAAAAACTCGATATGTTTCCCATATTTGAACGCATTTCTAATAAATACTCATCTTTAAATTTTTAATAGGAGGGCAGGATTTCTCCCAAGGATATCGAAAAAATTAATGAACTAAAAGAGTACATTGGCTTTGTGAGGATGTATTACAGGGCTGCAAAACGATATTTATTCTAGTAGAATAATTTGTGTATGCCCTGAAAATTTGCAATTGTAGAACATTTCTTAATTGGTGAACACTCTTTTTTTGCCTAAAAGATGCCACGCTATGAGCGACGCCTATGTGTCATGCTTGGTCTTGTCAAAAATGCCGATCAACCGAAGTCGATTTATTTAAATTCTTTAGACAGTCGAGAAATGCTTTTTCTGAAATCGGGAAGGATCTGTCGGCGCTTGTTGGAAAATTAGAGCATTATGAAAAAATGTTTAAAGTCTTTCACATGCCTCGACAACCATCCAAACTCCGAGGAGAGTCGAGAAAATAAACGCAGGTATGTTAGTAGTCCACCTAAAAAGATAGTCACTGAATCTACACAGAAAAATCCTCCATCTCAGCCCTTAGATCTAATCAATCTTTCTTCTCCATGCCCTCAGGCATTGAACCCTCCGCTATCTAAAGCCATATCCACTAGGTCTACGCCTAAAAATAATAACGACAATCAAAGTGTTGATCTAACAGTATTGCCATCGGCTTCTAAAGCTGCCCTATCTATCATAGGTGGTCCGAATAACTCGCAATCCCGCATATCTGAAGTCACTACCAAAAAGTTGGTTGTAATTCCGCCGAGAAGATTAATCTTTGTCTCTAGATTTGCTAAAGACACTTCTTCGGATGATATAAAGTCGTACATATCGACTAAGATTAAAACTAAAGATGTATTTATTCGTAAATTTAATTTTAAATACGATCGTGATATTTCATCTTTTAAAATTGATGTAGCTGCCGATGATTTTGATTCACTACTAAATAATACGAGTTTGAGTATAAACCTAATACTAGTAATAACAACGTAGCTAAAATTTCTAATCTTAATTCTGATTCAAAAAACTAACTCACAAGTCTAATTTAAGTATTTACTATCAAAACGTTAGAAGTTTGAATACCAAATTAACTGACTTATATTTAAAAGGCTTTGACTGCAATTATAATATTATTTCCTTGACCGAAACATGGCTCAAACCTCATATTTTTAATTCCGAAATTCTTCCAAATGGATATCAAATATACAGGAGCGACCGCGAGGACAGAATCGGCGGTGGTGTTCTTTTTGAGGTGGATTCGTCGATACCATCCGAGGAAGTTAGTGTTCCTGTCATTGAATATACCGAATTTAAATGTGTACGTGCACAGGCTGGTAAGAGTTATGTTTATTTATCTCTTTGCTACATCCCTCCTGATTCTGCCATATCAGTATATACACAACTAGTTTCTTTACATGAGTCCGTAAATGCAATGCTTACGCCTTCCGACTATGATTGTTTTGGGTGATTTTAATCTGCCACACATTTCTGGAACATTATTGACACCGATGTTGTACCAGATCCATCTAGAGATAGGTGCAATGTATTTCTGGAGGAAATAGCTGAACTTTGCCTAAAACAAATAAATATTTTTGTCGAAATAAGTTTGGAAAGGTCTTGGATCTGGTTGTTGTTGTTGTAGCGGCTACTAAGCCCCGTTCGGGTCGGTTCATCACGTCAACGTTGTCGTCAATTTCAGCTAGGGGGAGGCCCAGGAAGTGTGCGACTTCCACAGGAGCTGTCCATAGGGACAGGGGCGTCAGCTGAGTGGGGTTCTCAGGGCATGTGAAGAGGTGCCGGGAGTCATGTGGCGACTCTCCACATGCCGGGCATTGGTTAGGCACATCCTCATTGATTCTACTCAAGTAAGAGTTTAGCATGCTGCAATAGCTAGAGCGAAGTTGGGCTATTGTAGTGCGGGTCTCCCGAGGCAGACAAAGTTCTGTCCCGTCCACGTCCGGTGGTTGTGTGCCTAGAACGGCATTCACAGGGCGGGAGTCTACATAACTTGAGACTGATTCCCTGTGAATGCCGTTCAGGGCCTGTCGGTAGGTTGACGGGTCCAGAGGTTGTTTGTTAAACCTCTGGACTTCGTCCGTCAGTTCGTAAAGATGCCTCCTGACGTGCCTTGGCGAGGGCTCTTCCGCGAGCAGTTGTCCGTTGGGATGGCCACGTCTGTGGCTCCCAGCAAGGAACTGCTTGCACAACATTATGTTATGCTCCTTGACTGGGAGCACCTGGGCCTCGTCATGTAGGTGGTGATGGGGCGTCATCAGGAGGCATCCGGTCGCTGTTCGTAATGCCGTGTTTTGACAGGTCGGTAGCTTCATCCACTGCGTCCTGCTAGTCCCCAGCGACCACACG